CAGAACTCTGCTGAGGCAGAAGAATGGCCCAAACACTTGAGCAAATTCCTTTCTTTCTCTCGTTTTGTTTTACACGTATTTTGAGTTTTCCCAGTCCTTCGGGAATCCTTTAGGAAAGATGGTGGCATGTGCAGTCATTCACAGTTTAATGAGAGGGACACGTTCTGAGAGATCGCCGTCAGGGGCTCTCGTCATTGCGTGAACACGACAGAAAGCATGAACCCAAACTGCTCGATGGCGTGGCCCACTGCGCACCGTGGTTCTGCGTGTCCGCCGCCACACGTGACACGTGCCCATTCGCTGCCAGGAACGCATGGGGGCATGTGGACCCCCGTTGGGTGCACGGCCTCCTTGGATGGTTGGCCCGCTCTCCGGAGAGAGATCCGGAGGGCAGCAAGGTCTTTGATGGGAGCACATGCAAGGGAAGGGGTTCCTGACGGGCCGTGTGGGCACGTGAGCAGGAGCTGGCCGGCCCAAGCCTTGCGGATAACCGGGAAGGGGGAGTGCGGTGTGACGGTCTTATGGAAATGCAGACTTCCGTGTTGAAATAAAGGCGTTGTTGCTTTTGGGGCAGAAAGAAGAGAGTGCACACAGAGCAGAGTCCCCAAGTGGACGGCTCTATACGCTTAGCCCCCTTGACAACTGCTACGTGTACCTCCGTGTTGGTTCAATGTGCATAACTAGCCTAGCCCTGTGAGCAAGCTGTGGGGGTTTTATGCAAGAGCCGTTGTTCTCTCGCCCCAGAAACACTTCGTTGGGCATGTCCAGGTTTTGTGACACAGTGAGGGTGTGGGCAAGAACAGCGTGAACCCCGTCGGGAGGGTTTGGACAAAGTGTCCAGTAACACAGGGCAGTGTAGTCACCTGTGCCAGGAGGGGACTGAGTAAGGTCTTCATGGATGATCCCCAGGACACAGGCAGGAGAATGCAGAAGGGGGTGCACGAAAGGCAAGTCGGGGTCGTGGCTGAGGGCTGCAAATGCCAGACTGAAGAATCTGGTCAGCAGAAGCTCTCCTGATGGATGTCCCATCGGTCAGCTCAGCCAGTCTCCCGCCCGCAGTGGCGGGCACGTGCTTCCGCTGTCTGAGTTCAGGGCTTGCCAAGCTTGGTGACCTCATGCTGAGCCTGTCTGTGCCATCTGTGTGTGTGACTGGGATGATGGGATTTAATGAAAGGCTGGGTGACCTGCTGCAATGGGACTGTGAGCGGCATGATGGGGGAATAATTTCTGGGGCAGCTAAGTAGACTGCTTTGGAAAGAAGTGATAAAAGTGAGCACCTAGAATAATCATGTTGAATTACCAGTGGGTAAAAAAGTTATTTAAGAAATTAGAGAGCCCTGGCTGGTGTAGCCCAGTGGATTGAGCACAGGCCTGCGAACTAAAGGATCCCGGTTCGATTCTCAGTCAGGGCACATGCCTGGGTTGCAGGCCAGTTCCCAGCAGGGGACATACAAGAGGCAACCATACATTGATATTCCTCTCCCTCTCTTGTTCCCCTCTAAAGATAAATAAATAAAATCTTAAAAAAAAAGAAATTAGAATACTTAAGACTCCCAAAGGGTCCTGGGCTCGGGGGCCTCCAGGTGACTTGCAGGTGTCGCTCCCGTTTATAGACACTGAGACTTCTGTTCATAAGCCGATGCAGCCTGTGTGTGGGGTAGGCAAGAGGCACCTCTGAACTCAGCAGAGGACCCTGTGTCGGGGAGACCCTGGCTCCGCAGGCTGCTTTGACATCGTGGTACAGACGCAGCAGGGTGTCGTGTGTCTGGAGGGAGACGGTGGGTTCAAGCCCTGGGTTTACCACCTGCCAGTGATTGACTTGGGGCATGTTAGATGGCCTCTCTTGGTCTCAGGTTCCTCATCCTACAAGGGGGTGAAAAGGAACCCTGGGAGGAATGAGACCTACAGCACCACCATTAGAGAGCAGTGGGGTGGGTCCCTCTTGTGGCCACAGAGGGGAGCTGAGGTCCTAGAGCCTCAGGCCCGAGACTCCAGGGGGTGGGACCCCCTTTTGGGGGAAGCAAGGGGACGGGAGTGTGGTGAACTGGTGCTCTACCTTTCCGGGTCATCACCAAGTGAACCCAAAACCCCAAAACCATGACTTTACCACGCTGTCTCTTAACTCTTTGCCGGGGCCAGCGGTCAGCAGCTCTGAGCGTCCTTTTGCACATGGATGGCAGTGATCTGGTCCGCTGCCCAGAGTCTTCGCCAGGAAAAGTGGCTCCACCTCCCCCTTTCACGCTGTGGGCCCTCTGCTCCCCAGTGCTGTGTAGCTGCAGACCTGCTACAGAAACATCAGCCCAGAAGGAAAGGGTCTAGTGAGTCGGAGGCAGGGGTCATATTATGAACAAAAAGCACACGTTTCCCACTGTGCTAAGCTTCCCCCATGGCAGACTGGACATCTGATATGTCTTTAGTGACCACATCCTAAAATGCAGCTTATCTAAATTCGGATTCTTCTGAGGACCCAGTCTTGCTCCGATTCCCCAGGACTCAGGGGAAACTGTCTTAAAGGTTGTGTGTGTTGCATGCACATGGGTACCCAGAATAAAAGACCTGCGAGATTCAGAATTCCTCACACCATTAAAAAGACATTCCAAGTCACGCTTCTGACAGCTCCCACAGTTAAAATGGCTTTTGTGCTGTCCCTGAGCTGTGTGGGTGCTGATCGCAATCAGTCATGGTTGTTCTCACTGATTTCACAAGTGCATAGTCATGAGGAAGCAAAGGAGGTGGAAAGGAGGGACAGAGGAAGAGAGAGAAAGAGAGAGAGATTTGTCGCCCATGGTTACCACCAGTGGAAAGGAGGGCCTGTAGGGGGGGCTAGTCTTTGTGGGACATCCCTGCGTGTAGACAGTCCCCCAGATGCCAGCATCCCCTTCGGGCACCTGTCTCCCAGTGGTTCCCCGCCATCAGCGCTGCGCCCAGCACCAGGAAAGCCCCAGCCGAGGGAGGGCCGCGGGTGCGAAGCAGCCACCTTTCCACTTCCCCTGCTGGGCTCTGATTTTCCCCCTGCAGTTTGTCCTGATTCAGAACGAGAATATGAAAACACACAGAGGGACACGGCACCAGCCCCGTAATAAATTACGGTGAAATTTATGCCTAAGCGTTTCATTGTTTTTGATGCTGTTGTGAATGGCATCATCTTTCTCAGATGTTTCGTTGTCAGGGTGCAGAAACACCACTGACTGCTGTATGTCCATGTCATGCCTACAATTTCACTGGATTCCCTGATTAGTTCCAGCAGTTTCTTAACCAAGAACTTTCTAAATATAAGATTATAACATCGGCGAATAATGACAGGTTTTCTTTTTCCTTTCTATTTTGGATGCCTTTTATTTTACGCCTTGCTTGTTACCCTAGCCAGGACCCCTGATTCTGTTTTGAGTGAGAATGGTGACAGTGACATCCGGGTCCTATTCCTGATTTTAGAGAAAAAGCTTTAGATTTTCCCCAGTGAGCATGGGGTTAGCTGTGGTTTTAGCGCATGTGACCTTCGTTATGCTGAGGTGTGTATCTTTCATACCCGATTTACTGAGGGTCGTTTTCCTGAAGAAATGTCATGTTTGTCAAATGACTTCACTTTATTGAGACAATCATATGATTTTTATCTTTTATTCTATTTATGTGATGTATCACATTTATTGATTCGTGTACCTTGACCCACCCTTGCACCCCAAGGTTAAATCCCAGTTGGTCATGGTGTAGGATCCTTTTCACGTGTCAAATTCAGTTTGCTAGTATTTTGTTGGGGATTTTTTGCATTTATATTCATTAAGAACCTTGTTCTATCATTTTACTTTTTCTGGAATCTTTATCTGGCTTTGTTATTCTGGTAATACAGTCTCCTAAAATGAAGGAGATTGGAAGTGTTCCCTCTTCTTTAATTTTTGGAAAAGTTTGAGGATTGGTGTTGATTCTTCCTTAGATGTTTGGTAGAATTTGCTGTTAGAGCCGTCTGTCTGCTCCTGGCCTTTTCTGTGTTGGAGGTTTTTCATTACTAATTCAATTTCATGGCTTATTATTGGTCTTCTAAGATTTTCTATCTCTTCCTGATTCAGACAGGTCGTAGTCTGTAGCAGTTTGTTGATTTCATCTAGCTCATCCAGTTTGTTGGTCTATATTTGCTCTTAGTGGTCTCTTATGATCCTATAAATTTCGGTAATATCGGTTAAAATGTCTTCTTTTTCCTTTCTGATTTTACGTATTTGAGTCTTCTTTTTAAAAAGAAAAAACAGTTTTTAGTTTCACTGATCTTTATTATTGTTTTTCTGATCTACATTTCATTTATTTCCACTCTAGTCTTTGTTATTTCCTTCCTTCTGGTAATTTTTGGGCTTCATTTGTTTTTCTAGTTCCTTGAGGTATAAAATTAGGTTGTTTGTTTGAAATCTTTCTGTTTTCATAACATCTGCATTTATTGCTGTAAACGTCCCTCCCGGAGCTGCTTTCGCAACACCGGTCAGATCTGGGCGCGCTCAGTTTTCAGTTTTATTTGTTTCGAGGTTTTAAAAAATTTCTCTTTATTTATTCTTCGATCCATGAATTATTCGGGTGCATGTTGTTCAGTTTCCACGTGCGTGTAAACTTTCCGACTTTCCTCTTGTCGCTGACTCTGGTTATACCACTGTGGTTGGAAAAGAGAGTTGGTATGATTTCAGTCTTCTTAAAATTTCTACGCCTGGCTTTGCGGCCCGTCAGATGCTCTGTCCTGGAGAACGTGCTACGTGCATTTGAGAAGGACGGGTGTCCTCCCGCTGGGGGGGTCAGATGTTCTAGGAATGTCTGCCAGGCTCAGCCCCAACACTCCTGGCTGATTTTCTGTCTGGAGGAGCCACCCATTGTTGACAGTGGAGTATTGGAGTCCCGTAGCATTATCGTATTGTTGTTGTCTGTCTCTCCCTTCAGATCTGTTACTTGTGCTTAGAATATTCAGGTGCTCCAGTGTTGGGTGCACACATGTTTACGATTGCTGTGTCTTCTTGATGAGCTGACCCCTTAAAAACGTGGGACGCTTCATGAACTTGCATGTCATCCTTGTGCAGGGGTCCTGCTAGTCTTCCCTGTATTTTCCAATTTTGGTATATGTGTCACTGAATATACATACATAATACTGTGAAAACAGCCCCCAGTGTCACAAACAGATAAAACTATTGTTTCAAGCCACTGAATTTCCAGGTGGTTTGTCAACAACATTGATAAAGACACCATCAGGGTGACAAGTGGAGACGGGGAGGTTGAGGGCGTGTAGACCGGCCCTGCTCTCATTCTCTCTTCAGAGGAAGCAGCTCCCCGAGAACCTGCGCTCCCCCGTCACTCGCAGCCTGACACTCACATGGCTGACGTGCCCCGGCCAAGTGCTAGAGGGCCAAGAGTTAGAGTCTGGATTTAGCTGGAGTCAAGGCCAAAACCAAATGAGAAACAGAACTAGGAATCAAGAAAAAGACTGAAAAAGAATGAAACATTTAGAGTATTATAATAATTTAGTAGTCACCAATTAAAAGTTGCTTAGTGAAATTAAATGTTTTAAATATTTTAACAATTATTTTCTTTTTTCCCTACATTCATTATTACATTAAAATTGTTAGTAATTTGTCAAGACTTAGAATTTTCTCTCCTCATGAAATTTTAAAGTGGCAAAAATAATTCATCCTCACAAGATGTGAAACATTCTCCAATAGGACTTTTTATTGAGAGCATATGGTACCTTCGTGTGGGACTGGCCTTGACACTGTTCTGCTACCCACTTTTGTGTGCATTTGGTTTTCCCGATTATCCAAAGACTTTTTGTTCTAAGGACTTTTGTTGGTTCTCTCTAGTGTTAAAAAAAAAAAAATTAAGGTGATATTTCTTAGTTTTTCTTGCTCTATTTGTCGGCCCCTCTTTTTGTTCGTTGTGCTATTACAGTTGTCCTGATTTTTCCCCCTGCCCCCTCCACTCAGCACCCCCACTCCCTCAGGCAGCCCCCGCTGACTGTTCATGTCCGTGGTCACGCGTGCAGGTTCTTTGGGAACTCCATGTCCCGTACTGTGCTTCACATCCACACTGCCTGTCCCACTCCTTCTGGACCTTTCCTTCCCCTCATCCAGGTCTTCCTTCCTGATCAGCTCTGAGTCGGCCCCTGCCCTTCTTTCTGCCTGAGTGGGGCCCACGGAGGGTGGGAGGCTGCGCCTGCTGGGCAGGTAGCCGTGCTGGAATGCGCTTGCATTTGGGAGCAGAGTTGCTGCCGACACAGTTCGTTAGCATGTAGCCATGCTGGCACTGGGTAGAGCCCTGGTCCAATGGGACTGATATCCATATGAGCACGTGGCCATGACCATGGAGAGGGACTTCTGAGTAAGAACGATGGCAGAACTTGGAGTCCTGCAGCTGCAGTGACAAAAGTCGCCACCAGCCACCAGGCGAAGGCCGGAAAGCATTTCTTGCTGACACCTCCCTTCCAGGCTTCCAGCCTCCAGATCTGTGAGGCAGTGATTTTGTTTTGTTTGAAGCCACTATTTGTGGGACTTTGTCATGGCCACCCTAGGGAACTAGTACTCTCGTAAAGGCTGTGGGGCTTCTCGCCTTTGTGGTCTGGAGCCTGCATTGAGCAGCAGAGCCAGTTGTTGTGGTCACGATGGACATAATGTAAAGGAGCTCGCTGACCCCACGGTGGACATAGAACCCAGTGCCAGAGAATTTGGAAACTGCCAATGTCAACCAGTGTTAACCTACAGGGTTCAAGTCTTCTGTGATCTCATTAATTTGGTTACAATGAAGCTCTTAGAACTTTTAAGACCAGAGGGGCAGTCAGTGTGCTATAGAGTTCAAATTTATCTGGCCCTGGGCGCCCTGCTCCCAGCTTGCCTCCTTGCGTTTTTCAAGGGTGCATTCTTTTCTGTCATGAAAAAGTTTGGCTTCTGCAGAGTGGGGGAAGCTTGGGGTCAACTCCTCTCTCAATCAATACTAATGACTAGTGTTTTAAGTTTAAGTCCTGAATCACCAAACCAACGAACAGATCTCAAAAACTAACAGTTTTTCTATGTTAATTGTAAAAATAAACAGGTCCTCATTAGAGAGGGCTTGATCCTGACTTTCATTCTGCTCTGCTGGAGCCGGGATTCTGCAGCCCTTGTTAGAATGAGCATCCAAGGTGAGGCCTTGCGAGGCCTTGACCCTGCTTGGAGAGCCGTGGGAGGACACTCTCTGGCGGTTTCCGAGAAAGAAATCCAGGAGGATCCTGCCCAGACTGGGGCCACAGATGAGGCCATCACACCACAGACACAGGGTGGAGTTTTCTGTGGGTCATTTTCTGTTAAAACTGTAACTAGATCAGAGTCATAGGGTTTTTTCTTCTTGCTTCACTTAATTCATTTTTCCTCTCTCTTTTTATTAGTCTCAAAGTATTTAGGTCTCTAGGACTGTGGTTTTCCAACCTGAGAGTGCACGGGGTTCCCACCCACAGAAGGGTTCAGGAGGACCAGGCTGCATCGGGATTTTTACTTACTCATTGTTCCGTAACCAGCACTGGCACCCGTGTCTGCCTCTTGCTTTTCGCTGCCTCTGTCTCCTTTCCTCTTCCACAATCATCTGGGGACAGAAGACAGTTCGCCCCACCCCCTCCCGCTTCGTATCCAGACCTCCTAAAGTAAAACTCTGGCCTGCCCCTCCATGTGCTAAATGGGGAATTGAGACGGTGGTTGTGATTCTACTTCATGATTCACTAGTGAGAAGCCAGTAATATGACATTACTGGCTCACAAGCACGCACACGTATAGGCCATGAAGCATGCTGAAATGAATTTGCAAGTGGATGGAAAAGCTATTAATATCCACAGTGCTTAATCAATTCAATTCCACGTGAAAATATTCACTGGCCTTTCAGGGACAAGAATTATTTGCATTACTGTGAGTTTTCTAAGACTTACTAAGTTGTCAAATAGCTTAAAGATTGGCCTTCAATCCCTGTAGGCCTAGACAACGTGGAAGGGTGAGCTGGATGGGAGACCCAGTGCTCTTTTCCTTCCAGTTTAAAAGTCTTGCGAGTTTTTCCTGACACAGCCAAAGGCCCAAGTTTCCTTGTCAGTAAAATGAGAGACTTGGACTCCTGACCTCCGAGGCCTCAGGCTCGCCACCCTGTTGCTGAGGTGGCCCGGCCGTCATCTCTGCGTGCACATAAAGCTCCTGGGACTTTTTCGGCTGATGTGTCGGAGCTGTGGGAGGCGTCCGCGTCCATCAGAGTCAGCAGGAGTCCGACACCAGCGCCGCGGCCCCTCTCCTCCGCCTGTGTGCGCATGTGCAGTGCAGGGGACACAGGCCCTGGCCACCGGCAGCGTCGGGCGTTTGCTTGCCTGCTTTGCTGGAGATGACTTACAGGAGCTGCTGGGAACCTATGAATGCAGCAAGTCAGGGCAGCGTGGTGTGGGTTTTGTAGATGGTGGGACTGGGAGAGACAGTAATTCGAGATTTCTCTAATTCTTGTAGACTTTCCTGCCGGGCACACACAGCAGATCCTTTTAAGATTATCTCATGGTCAAGGAAATGGTCGCCGTGGTGTTGGGGTGTCCTCAGCTGGTGTAGCTGGGGGGGGGGGGCGCTGGAGGTGGGGGAGGAGCGTAGGAAGCTGCTGGATGTGATTTTCTTTGTTCGTTCACTTCTCCTCTGTCCGCGTAAGCTCTAAACTTGAAAGCAACAGAGAAACCGCTTCAGCTTAGTGATTTAACAAATGGTTTTTGAATGAACCATTGAACTAACTTTTCTGTCTCTAAACATAGAGCTCGGGTATCCTAAAAAGCTCTCAACCTATTTAGTTTTTTAAAAATCGACCATGTTTGAGAGTGCGTAGCATGAGTAATGTGTGCAGCTGGTGCGTTTTGAGGATAAATATTCTGCTTTGTAGATTTTATCAGGTAAAACCCCAGTCAGTTTAGAGATCAGCATCAAAACTTCTTTTATGTAAATTTGTTTATGCTCATTTGGATGGTCTCATTTTAACTAGAACGATATTCTTGATGGTAAAACATAAAAACAATCACATTTCTTTGTTTCATTCTTTCTTTTCTTTCATCCCAGTCATTTCGGTAGCGCGCTGGGTAGCGCCCGGGAAGGTTTCTGGTAATAACACACCTACACAGATGTGCTGCAGGAAGCAGAAAGTCCGTACCTGACGCCCTCGGTAAGTACGACCCGATGAGTCAGATAAGGACTCAGGACGCCTGCTACTGAGCAAGGAAGGTTTATGTCCCAAAGCTCTTCTTCTGCACCAATAGCATAACATGGATTCAAGGGGCACCAGTGTCAGAGGCCCAGACTTTGAACACCATATGGACATCTGTCCACATAGATACTCACGTGCACAGAGGTGGCTGCAGAGGGTGGGCGTGGGGGACAGAAGGATGAGAAAAGATGACCAGTGCAGCCGGTCACCTGTGTGGCAGCCACGCAGCCCTCGTGCATTTCGTTGTCACAATAACACCCAGAAGGAGCTTCTAGGTGAGGGAATTGAGACTCAGTGGTAAGGAGCAGAGCTCGTTTTGAAACAAGTGTTGCCTGACTCCAAAGCTATTAGGACATAGAGCAATGGTGTCAAACTCATTGTCACCTGGGGCCACACTAGCCTCATGGTTGCTTTCAAAGGGCAGAATGTAATTTGAGGACTGTGTGAATGTAACTGCTCCTTAACCAGGGGTAGAAACAAGGTGCCGGGCTGGATAAAACAAGGTGGAGGCCGGATTCGGCCCGCGGGCCTCGTGTTGGCCACCTGTGACCTGGAGTGAGGCTTCTCCTGTTGTTCCTGAACTGCAGCCAGGGCCCCAAACTAAAGCCAAAAATCTGACCCATCCACATTTTAAGATCAGAGAGCAGCTGGCACCTGGAGCCAGCCCCAATCTGCCAGAGCTTTGCCAGGGGCCAGCCCATCCCGCCCATCCCAGGCAGCTGCCAGCCCTGTGTCCCCTGCCCGGGAGCACTGAGAGGGAAAGGGGCAGTGTTCCATCCCCAAAGTGAGTGGACAGGGAGGGTTCGAAAAGGAATTCTTCTGAAGACTGGGGTGCCTACAAGAGCAGGAGACCGACATTTTCATCCCACAGTGGGGCCTGCTGCTTGGCCACCATTGGAGGTTCGGAGAGAGGCGGTCCTGCCTGCCGTCTGCCGGTTCCCATCAGAAGAAGCGACCCACTGCTTGCCTGCTGACTTCACAGTTTGGGGGAAGGTGAGAACTGAGCCAAAATCGTAGTTCAGGACAGTGCGAGCAGGGAGTGCATATGGGTGTGTTTGAAAGCAGGTGGGTGCTGGCAGAGCGGCCCACACATTGCAGGTAAATGCCTCCAACCAGGAGTCCCCAGGATAGGTGGTCAGACCAGCCAGGGACAGCCAGCGCCTCTGGGAGCTGCCTGGAATAAGCCTCCCCTTCCTCACCCCCTGCCCCCCCCCCCATCGCAAAGGATGTCGGAGGCCCCTCCTCGGCGTATAGACATGGAACAGAGTGTGGTTGTGGGCAGCCCAGAGGGGCCTGCACCTCTGCCCACCTCGATACACAGGTAGAAGCTGGGGTCAGGGGAGGGCTCTGAGGAACCTCTAGCCTGAGCTAGAAGAAGAAAAGGAGCTTTGACTGGAGTCTGGGAATGGGACTGAATCTTAGAGGCCGTAATTAGAATGTTGTGACAACCAAAATAGGCTGAAAATTTGCAAAAGACAGGCTATTATTAGACAAGCTAGAACACAAGGTCGGTGGTGCCATTCAGCACAACTACCAGGAGAGTTTTAGGAAAATACAACTTTCATATTTCTATCCCCTGAGAACCAAAGTTGAACACAGGCACCAAAGCAGCTGCTCCCTCACTCTGTTCTCTGTGTCAGCCGATGGGGGAGCCCCGGCCATGTCTCTGGCCCCGCAAGGCCCTTCTCAAGACCCCCGTGAACTGGGCCGACTGGATCCCTGTTTCCTCTGGTTCCTTGCCCCTCACGTGGCTCTGCCTCCGCTGGGCATCCCCCGCCCATCAGTGGGACTTCACGGGACGTTCCTGGCAGCTCGGCCACAGCTCCCCCTGCAGGACCGGCACGTCCAGTGCTTCAAACACTCCGGGTCCAGGCCCAGTGTCTTTACAGACATGTCTCCCGGAAGCTCGGCCTCCCCTCGCCCCGCCCCTCCCCGCCCCCCACACAGTGGAGTCTGACTCTTCGAGTAGCAGCATCTCACATGATTTTACTGGACGTGGGTTGTCATGGTTGACAGTAAAGAAGCTCCAGCTCTCTGTCCCTCCCTGTGTCCCTGCTTTTTGCTGTAGACCTTGAGATTGTTCCCGCTAAGGGAGCAGGATGGACTTCCCGCCCTTTGACTTCGGGGCCTGTGATCCGCCTCGGGCACTGGAAGGAAACGGGAGTGAGGAGGCACCACTGTGAGCCTGGGTCCGCGGGGACCTCGCAGTCACACGAGCCGCGTCGTGTTTGTTTTGAGCCACTGAGTCTGGGGATGGGGTTTATAATGGACTAAAAGCCAACCAATGCACTCATTTCAGTACAGTAAAGAAATGTGGTGGAATTTAAACCGGAAAAAAGTGCTGTTACTTCTAGAATAATTTCCCCTCTGTTTGCATTGGCTAGCTAGCTCACCAAGTGATTGAGTTAACTCTAATTTGCATTATTTGCTGGAATACATGCCTTTGCCAGCTAAGAAGACAGTGCGTGTGCTCTTCATTCTGAGGAGCTGGGGGCAGGACCTCCCAGTCAGTGCCCAGGGTGCCAGGACCCCACAGAGGTCTGCACAGAGGTGGGGGAGCGTGAGCGGCGCCTTCGTGAAGCCCCTGAGTGCGCTCCATGAGTGGGGGTGTGGTGCGGTCTGCAGCACCTGCAGGCCTCGCATTCGTTTCTTTTTTGATATATTTTATTGATTATGGCATTACAGTTGTCCTACTTCCCCTCCTTATTTTATGTCCATGTGTCACAAGTTCTTTGGTTCTATATTTCCCATATTATTCTTGCCCTCCCCCTTATCTGTTTTCCACCTGCCGTCTATGCTACTTATTTTCTGTGCCTTCTCCCCCCTTCTCCTCCTCCCACTCCCCTGTTGCTAACCCTCCATGTGATCTTCATTTCTATGGTTCTGCTCCTGATCTAGCTGTCCTCTTAGTTTGCTTTTGTTTTAGTTGTGGTTGTTACTAACTGTAAGTTGGCTGTCCTTTCACTTTTCATATTTTTTATCTTGTTTTTCTTAGATAAATCCCTTTAACATTTCATAAAATAAGGGCTTGGTGATGATGAACTCCTTTAACTTGATCTTATCTGAGAAGTACTTTATCTGTCCTTCCATTCTAAATGAAAGCTTTGCTGGATAGATCAATCTTGGATGTAGGTCTTTGGATTTCATGACTTGGAATACTTTCTAGCCCCTTCTTGCCTGTAAGGTCTCTTCTGAGAAATCAGCCGACAGTCTGATGGGAACTCCTTTGTAGGTGAATGTCCCCTTAGCTCTTGCTGCTTCTAGGATTCTCTCCTTCATTTTAATCTTGGCTAATGTAACTATGATGTGCCTTGGTGTGTTCCTTCTTGGGTCCAACTTCGGGCCTCTCATTTGGAACCCAGGGCACCCCACCCTGGCAAAGGCACCTCAGCCCAGCCACCAGCAAGGCCACAGAGCACCGGGGAACACTTCACCTCCCGCTGTCCAGGGTGCCTCCTCTGTGCACAGCCCCTCTGTCCTCTGTGGCCCCTTCCAGAGGGACAGGAGCAGCCATCGGTGGAAGCCTGCTGTGTGCTTATGGGGCCTCCCTTCCCAACCCAGCAGGGCTGCTGGCTCACAGGCGGTGAGGATGTGCCCCTGTGTCTCAGCCCTGCCGTCCCATGTGGCTGTGCGGGTTCGTGGACTCGGAGTCCGCTCTCTCCCTCTCTCTCTGTGCCCTCTTCCCAGACACCCCGGACCCGTGTCTCTCTCTGCCCGCTTCCCAGACACCCCGGACCCGTGTCTCTCTGTGCCCTCCTCCCAGACACCCCGGACCCGTGTCTCTCTGTGCCCGCTTCCCAGACACCCCGGACCCGTGTCTCTCTGTGCCCGCTTCCCAGACACCCCGGACCCGTGTCTCTCTGTGCCCTCCTCCCAGACACCCCGGACCCGTGTCTCTCTGTGCCCGCTTCCCAGACACCCCGGACCCGTGTCTCTCTGTGCCCTCCTCCCAGACACCCCGGACCCGTGTCTCTCTGTGCCCTCCTCCCAGACACCCCGGACCCGTGTCTCTCTGTGCCCTCCTCCCAGACACCCCGGACCCGTGTCTCTCTGTGCCCGCTTCCCAGACACCCCGGACCCGTGTCTCTCTGTGCCCTCTTCCCAGACACCCTGGACCCGTGTCTCATATCTGCAAAGGCATCAAGTGACCCCACTTGGGCCAAGACAGGTTCTCCACCCCAGAGGCACCCAAACCTTCTCCCTGGGGTGCTGAAGCTGCCTATTTGGGTCACTAAGCCAGGGTGCACCCCTGCTGGTCTGGCTGGTGATTTCTGCTGGCGCCACCCCTGGTCAGGAGGGAGCGTGGGTCTCCTGAGTCCCGTCCTGGGCTCCCAGCAGGAGGCCCTGTCCTGTCCTTGAGGGGAGACCCTCCCTCGGCACTGGACTCCCCTTCTGCAACAGTGCCTGGTTTCCCCAGGAAGGAGCCGCAGCCACGCGCTGCTAGGAGACAGGGATTGACGTAGACACTGCCCGGGGGGGAAACAGAGGTGGGGAAAGTACGCACACGGTCCACGTCTTCAGAAATGGCTCGAACGTGCACTGACTCGCTGTCCTCGGCCCCGGGGCCCCGGGACCTGACTCTCCCTGATCTCAGCTGCAGCTGCCAGCCACCCGCTCGCTGGCTCAAACTCGGGCGCCCGTGTCGTTTTTGGAGCAGCCTGTCATCCTTCCACAGAGTTGCAGGCTGGCTGGTGCTACTCTCCCCGAGGGAACTTTGCTACTTATGTCTCGTTAAAACAAATCAGGCTGCTGGGTGTAGAGCAGGTGGCCTCTCTGTCTGTCTAAAGCCTGACTCTTCTTTTTAAATCCACTATGACGGCCATTTCTCTCCACAGGCCCACTCTCACACGAGCTTCATGTGCTAAAAGGAAAGATCCTATAAAGTATCATCTATTTTCCCCACAAAGTTTAAGCCAGTAAGGCCTGTGA